GTTCGGGGGGGCAGTGGCGGAGCAGACAGTTCAGAGGGGGCCGTGGTGGAGCGGCCTCCGTGGCCTTGGCCTCGGCCCTTGGCCCGGCCTCTACGGCCAAAGCCCTATAGCCTCCCCCAAAAAAATTCCTTGGGGGACATTTCGGGTTCTGAGGCCCTGGACGTGGGAACAGGAGCACTCTCTGGGTTTAACTTGGGAGCAGGAGCCCTCTCTGGGGTGGGCATAAGAGCAGGAGCTCTCTCTGGACTTAATTTGGGAACAGAGTCCTTCTCTGCGCTTGACTTGGGGACTCGAGCCCTCTATGGGCTGGACGTGGGAACTGGAGCCCTTTCTGGAGCGGACTCAGGGGCTGGAGCCCACAGTCTCTTCCGCCGCATTCTCCTCTTTTGAGCAGAGGTGAAGGAAACTGCTGCTGTCAGCTGAGGGCTTGGGAGTGAATCGGCTGGGAAATAGAAATAGAAATCTTTTGTACCATTATAAATGACTTTACTGTCACTTTTGATCACTTTAATGTGTCCTTGCTGAATAAAAGTATCAATTATACGGTCTCAAACTTCTGAACAGTAGTGTATGAATGTTCCAGTTCTTCTTGCTGTTTTCACTGTCATTATCACTGCTCGCTTCAGTGTGTGTCTCTGATTGGTCAATAGGCAGCAGTGGGTGTGGCCCAGAGAAACCCAGCGTCAGTGACATCATTAACCTCGAGATGTTGCAACTTGGATCCAAACTGAAATCAAGTAACACACAGGTAATAATTACATACATTCACAATTTCCATTTCTGGAAACTAGCAAGTGCAGATGGATTGTAAATAATTGGCCTGCATCCACATAATCATGAACCACACACTCCCACAGACAGCTTTAAATATTATGAAACCTTCCCTAAATGGAAAAGATTGCATAAAAACACCATTATAGGGTATATTTGTATAAATGTGTATCCCCTCATATAGATCTGTCTACCAGTTTAATGTACGTAACAAAAGCAGATTGTTGGATTATGTAAAGAATAGAGTATTTTCATCCCTCTCTTTAGTCAGGCTGGTCCTGTCCTTCCTGTACATTCATAAATAAGTCTACGAGACCCGGCTGTGAAATCTGCAGCACAGATCGACCCAATCCTCCCAATCACAGCAGCGTTCAACAGGTGATTCACTCACACCTACACCTGTTCACTGTGCTGGAACACTCTGTGTGCTGATGATTATTCTGTTTCTTTCTGTTTTAAAAGCAAGAAGAGCAAACGAGTGAACTCAGCATACCAAGATATTTTGGACAATGCTTTGCTCTAGCTTTATGGGATCAGTTTGAGGAAGGTTCTCTTCTATTCCAGCATGACTGTGCCTCAGTGCACAAAGCAAGGTCCAGAAAGACATGGCTGGATGA